TGCTGCTGCTGCTGCAGCTGCTGCTGCTGCTGCTGCAGCTGCTGCTGCTGCTGCAGCGTCTCGTTCCAGCTGCTGAGGGCTAAAAGCAGGGGCCCCATGTGGGCCTTCAGTTTGCCAGCGGGGCGAAAGTCTGATAAGAAGACCCGCAGCAGCAGCAGCAGCGCGTCGCGCAGAGCGCGCGCCCAGCAATCTCCCTCTTGCTGCTGCTGCTGCTGCTGCAGCTGCTGCTGCTGCTGCGTATCTCTGAGGAAGAAGGGGTTTGCTGGCAGCAAGGACTCCTGCGGCGCGAGGCGAACGACCAAGAGGAAGTAGAGAGCGTCAGGAAGCGTAGCGGAGTGCTGCAGCAGCGAAAGCGCCCTTGCTGCTGCTGCTGCTGCTGTTGCTGCTGCTGCTGCTGCTTGAGTCTGTCGAGACACAGAAGGCCCTCTTGGGCTGTAAAAAGGAGAGACCTGCAGCACCTCTTCGTTCTGCTGCTCCCCATGGAGTGTGGCTGCGTCTGCTGCTGCTGCTGCTGGTGCCGCTGCTGCTGCTGCTGCTGCTGCAGTTACAGACACCAGGAAATGCAGCAAGGCAGCAACCAGCTGCAGCGGCAGCTCGGGCAGCAGCAGCGGCGCCACAAACTCTTCCAGCGACTCCTTCGAACTCAGCCCAGGCAAAGCTCCTGCAGCAGCAGCAGCAGCAGCAGTAGCAGAAGCAACAGCAGCAGCAGCCCGAAAATGCTGTCAGGACACTCGGCAAAAGTTTCACAACTGCAGCAGCATCAGAATAAGCAGCAGAAGGGACGATAACTTATAGATCTACAACTGCAGCAACAGCAGTAGCAGCTCCTCAGTTGCTGCTGCTGCTGCTGCTGCTGCTGCTGTTGTCTCTAGAGACAGTCGAAACTGCACTAAAGCCTCAAGGGGACCCCTCTAGGAAACTCCACTTGCGGGGCCCCAGGGGGCCCCAGAGGGCCCCCCAAGGGGCCCCTTCAGGGGGCCCTGAGGGGCCCCTTTAGGACCCCCTTGGGGGCTCCCAGAGAGCACTCAAAGGGTACAGTGTTTGCTGCGGAGGCAGAGATGGCTTACCTGCTGCTGCAGTCGAAAAAATGGGGCCTAGGGCTCGTCGGTCTGCTGCTGCTGCTGCTGCTGCTGCGCCCAGACACTCCAGCTGGGCAGAGAGCAGCAGCACATCAACGGGGCTGAGGGCAGAGCGCCAGCGGCCAGCAGCATCAGCAGCAGCAGCAGCAGCTCCTGCGAGCCTTCTGCTGGAGCTGCTGCTGTTGCTGCTGCGCTGCAGCAGCTGCTGCAGCCGAGGCCTCAGAGAAGCAGCAAGGGCTCCAATGAGCTGCAGCAGCAGAGGCCGTTCCAGATTGGCGTCTACGGTGTGCTGCAGCAGCAGCAGGACGCAGCAAAGAAGGCGCGGCGGCAGCTTCTGCTGCCGACTCCTGCTGCTGCTGCTGCTGCTGCTGCTTAGTGAATTACAGACGGAATCCACAAGAGCAGCAACAACTCCAGCTTCCTGCAGCCTTAGCCGCAGCAGGGCCTCCCCTGTTTGCAGCAGCAGCAGCCCTGGGGCCCCTCTAAGCTCGCTTCTGCAGCGGGGCGTCAGCAGCAAAATTTCTTGCCTAGCAGCTACGCACCGAAGCAGGAACTGCAGCAACTGCGTGCAGACAAACAAGCAGCAGCAGCAGCAGCAGCAGCTTGTCTCAGAGACAGCAGCAGATGACCTAGTTGACCAGTTCCCCCTCCCGCTATTATACAGTAAAAGAGACCCCCAGCAAACCTCTTGCGTGCTGCTGCTGCTGCTGCCGCTGATGTGGCTACTGGTGCGGCATTTGCTGCTGCGGTGGTGCTGCTGTGCTGCTGGGCTAGAATTGAGTACCAGGCTCAGCAGGGTTTGCTGCAGAGAGCAGAGGCGCCAAAGGGCACTAACTGCAGCAACAACTGCCCCAAACGGCAAAGCAGCAGCAGCAGCAGCAGCAGCAGCAAGCCCATCAGCTGTGCATGTAGATGCCGCCGACAGCAGCTGCAGCAGCAGCAGCACGCGGTGCAGCAGTAGGTTGCCGCAGCTACGCCCACAGCTGCTGAGACTGAGGAAGGACCGCAAGTCCCCCAGGTAAGCCTCTTGCTGCTGCTGCTGCTGCTGCTGCTGCTGCAGCAAGGGCTGAGGCTTCTGCTGTGCCCTCTGCGCACCCACAGCAGCAACATAGTTGAGCAAAGACGCAGCAGCAGCGCCGTGAAGAAGACACTCCAGCGCATTCACCAGGTGCGCCGGCAGCAGGGTCGGCTTCTTGCTGCTGCTGCTGCTGCTGCTGCTGCTGCTGCTGTCTGGGTAGGGGATGAAGCGCGTCCATGCTGCTGCAGTTGCTGCAGTTGGGTGCCCCGCAAACAGCAGAAGCAGCAGCTCGCCCAGCGTGTGCAGCAAACAGCTGTTGCGGAACTCCTCGCGATTTTGCTGCAGCACCAGAGCCTCGTTTTGCCCTGCAAAGCCCTGCTGCTGCTGCTGCTGCTGCAGCCATCTGTGGCTGCCTTCTACTGCTGGTGCTGCTGCTGCTGCTGCTGCAGAGTGCACTGACAGCTGAGAAGCATTCAAAGGGCTGCTGCAGCAGCTGCTGGGCGGCCGCTGCTGCTGCTGCTGCCGATAGAACTGTGGGGAGGGGG